TGAATTTTCTTTGCCATTCGTTCAGGTGAAATACTGTAATACGATGACATCTCTTCAATAACATCAATGTCTAGCTTATCTCTCTGAAAAAAAAAAAAAAAAACAAGTAAAACAACTTGTGAAAAGAACTGAAAACATTAAAAAAATACTGAAAATAAACAGAAAGGAAGCTACAATATGTTAATGAGTAGCCACAAAGATGATATAAACCAGACAATAGTGAGGGCAATCATAACCAAAGTAATCCATGGGCATAGCTTTCTGATGKTACCTTTATTTGAGTTTGCCACTTGACTGGAGCAGCATAMCCYTTCATCACCCAGTCATCATTTAACAAGTCTTTGATGGTTGAACGTTTGCGAGGGTTTACCTGGAAAATTTTTAATAAAATAAACAAAAATACTTGGCTATATTACACAGTAGACCATGTGTGCTATCATTTGCTGGCAAAGAGGAATTTCAAAGAAGTTTTAAAATTTTAGTTATTCTATAAGTAATTATAACAGGTAGATAAATATAGATCAGGCATTATAAATTCTTGATAAATATTTAAGAACTGATCAACTGACAATGTATTGTCATAATTTTAAACAGTTTAGTTAGTCTCAAATCTCAGTTCCTTTGCAGCCAATCTTTTAATGTCAGGAGCATGTAAATAAATGGTTGTCTGCAAAGGATACTAGTACAATCTCTGTGTGAACTGACATCAATCTTATAGACCTGATCAGCTAACACGTTGCTATAAACGTTTCCACCCAGTTCAAACCACCCGGGAGTAAGTTTCATTGTATTTTCATTCCATAGTACATGTAAGTTTAATTCTTAGAAACAAAAGTTCTTTTTCCCGTAGGATTTGAATAGGGTGATAACGTACATGGTAGAAAAAAAACAGGTTAGTCAATTGGGTCTATTAAAGCTAAATGATGCTTTAAAGTCCACCTAACCCAATTTTTTTTTTATATTTGTAAAGAAAAGACTTTTGTCATAGTAACAACAATTTGTACAAACAAATTTGATTTCGTTTATTTAAACTACATTTTGAAGCGAAAACAACCACGGACAAAGCCAATTTCGGGATTCCTGTGTGCCTGATCAATGTCTTCGTGATGACGTAGAGGGAGTAAGTCGTTCGAGAGACAACGATAGATACCTACAGTGAAATGACAGTAAAAATCAAATCTGAAACAAGAGAACCTGGAATTTGAACAGCTGTAAATACTACCTACATATATTGAAAGAAGTTACTTACCTGGGGCCGTAAATAACTTTTCCTGTTCCTAGATATTTATCTATACGCAACACTTGTTTGTCCAGAATAATCTCTCAACACTTTGGCTCCATTTTTATAGCCAAGACATGAAATAACGTTCAAATCGTCAGAATAATCTCTAGTAGCATTAGACTTGCCGTTTCAGGCTGGATTATCCCACGTTCAGTCTTAGAAAACATAGGTTTGTAATGAAATATGTGGAACTTGTACAGCAAACTTTGTATTTACCGAAGGACGAGTTACTCCATCTACGTCATCAACCCAGGCTCCCTCGCACTCGGCCAAAAATATAAATTTGGAAATTCGAATTTTTATTATGTGAATTTGTGGTTTATAACTCCTAAACTTTTTTTTCCAACTGTAAAAAAAATTGGGTGAGGTGGACTTTAACTGGCAGTCTYAATTGAGCTGCTCCCTGCCTGCTCTTCTATTGTCAATTTTTGGTATGTGATAATAATATATTAACTCATTTATAAGATCTCAGTTCTTTCTTTATTTYACTTACTTGTAATAACTGGCCAATTATTCCAATTGTTTCTGAATCAAAGAGAAACATCTGAGTAATGCATACATGACTGTACACTTTCTATTATTCATTTGTTAAATGTTGGCTGCATTTTATGCTATCAATGTTAGGCATAATTTTGCTTCTTCCACCCAACTATGCCTGGTAAGTGGGCATTTACATGTAGATTAAAACAAACTTCCACAGACAATAAGTCTCACCAGTTAAAGGGACACTGTCAATGGCACGCATGTGCGAGTAAACTTGAAAACACTAGGCTAGTGTTTTCAAGTTTATGACTCCAAGTTGGCGCGACATAAATCAGATCATAAAACGTAAACAGATCTAGAATATTCCAAAGTGTGTCAAAAGCACCACAAAATGATTTACCTCGAAGGTTATACTTTCAAAGTCCGTTAGAGGTGAGACTGTTACTGCGCATGTCATCCATTGACAGTGTCCCTTTAATAATGGATGGCGGTTACCATGATTCTGTCTCAATACCAAATGCCAGAGGATATACATTTATTCCCACCCCTGGACCCCCCAAGGGAAAAACCGGCACATGCCCAAAATTATCAGAGACTACTGATGACTTTGATATACAGTACAAATAGTAAGTACTCAGATGAAAAGCTAACCTTTTGACAGCCACAGAGGAATTTCATATTCTCCTTTCTGGAACAGAACATTTAGTATTTTTAGTGGAATCATTAGCACTTTCAATAACCAATTTAGCAATCTCTTTCACACTGTGTTAACTTCAAAACCATGAAACCTCTTCATTTATTCACTAACAGCCTGTGAAAATGCAAGAGATCTGTGAACGACAGGCTCCAAATAGTTTGAAATCTCACAATTTTTCTCCAAATTTCTGCATATTTTAAGGACAATTAAAGAGGACACAGTTAAAAAGTTTGGAAAACCAGGCTAAAAACTCCATAGGATTTTAAGAGTTACCGTATCTCAGTCAGGATTAGAACAATTGAGCTTTGAACAAAACTAAAATAACACTGCTTACTTGGATGAGTCTGTAAAGCTTGTAAGTGTTGTCATCATCAAAGGGCAAAAACCCACAAACCAGAGCATACAGTAACACACCCATACTCCATAGATCAACCTGTAACRTGCAATAGAGTCCATTCTGTCAACTGCTGGTTTCCATGCAATAGTCTTCTTCAAGGTTCCCTCCACCATCTTGAAAGGAAGCCAAGRTTTKGATCAAAGCAAGACGACTGTTKAGTGTGCAATGATAGAAACCTTCTTCCACAYCWACARACAATTATTCACAGGTATCTATCATTGCAAACTCAACGGTTGTCTTGCTTTGATGCTTTGGGAACCGTGAAGGTGAAGGAGACTATTGTCACTTCTTCATGGTTCCCTTGTCATCTTGACTTAGCAACTAAGCAAGACAATCAGTAAGCATATTAGACACATGCCTGAATAATTGTCTACAGGGTGAACAAAGTTCTCTATCTTTGCATGCTCACYARYKGTCTTGCTTCAAACAATTTAAGCATGTATTATATTTCAAAATGGTGGAGATTCCGTTGAAGATGAAGATGCATACAAAATGTACAAGATCGAGTAAGTGTAGGCAACCACTTTATTACAAGCCCATAATAAAAAGTCTAAATTACTCCTGCAATTAACTTCATTTGCTTTTTCATGTTGGTAAGGAATGGCAACTTTAAACMACTTTATTATGATCAAAATGTCTCAATAGCTTTTTACCTTTTTGTATAACAATATTTAATATATTTAATCACAACTATCACACAAACCTCATTTCCAAAGTAAGGAAGACCTGAGACCAACTCTAAAAAGAATAGCATTAAAGT